TTTGCGCTATAAAAAAAAAAAAGGCTGACAATTTTGAGACAAAAAAAACAATATTTTGGACTTTTTGCTATAAAACATGTCCAGTAAAAAAAATTTTAAAAAATCAAATTTTGGCACAAATTTCATCCAAAATGCATTCTGCGACATGTCTCTGCTAAAAAAAAATCCCAATACGTGTAAATTAATTGGTTTACATGAAAGTTATAGCGTTTACAAATGGCGGGAAAGATACTGGGATTTTTTATTTTATTTATACTAATAATGGTGGCGATCAGCGACATATTGCGGCGATCAGCGACATATGACGGCGACCAGCGACATATATGGCGGGACTGCGGCGGACATTTTGACACTGGGGGGGAACTGACTTGGGGTCACTGACATCCCCAGTGACACCAATACAGTGATCAGTGAAAAAAAAAAAAACACTGAAACTGTACAAATGGCAATGGGGAGGAAGGGGTTAACATTTTTAGTGTTCACTGTGTGAGGGGAGTGTTTTACTAGGGGGAGGGTGTGTGTGCTGGAGGGGGGGGAGGGAGGGGGGGAGCTGATCGAGGCAGAGAAACCCTCTGCAGCTTGTCACAAGCTGAGCAACTGACAGATAACAAGGCTGTGTGTAAACAATGCAGCCTTGTTATCTGTCAGTAATCACAGCTCATCATGGCCAAAAAGCCGGTAATCACTGGCCGTGACCCGGCGGCTGGGACCCGCTGATGACACCCGCGGGACAGGTAGGGCGTGCACCGCCTCGCGTGCGCCCCCTACCTGTTTTGCAGAACCGCGTTTTAAAACGTGGTTTTGCCTGTGAGTGCCGCCCTGCCACCGTATATCTACAGTAGCTGGGCGGCAAGTGGTTAACAACCAACCACCAACCAATTAACAACCAACCAACCACCAACTAGCAACCAACCAACTTACGAATCGAGGGGTCGGACATCACCACCATGACATAGGTGTTGGATGTGAAGATATCTATAAAGGCAGCGAAATTGGAATTCCGAACTTCCATGCTCTGGAAAGAGGCAGCCAGTTTACTGTAAAATCACAATAAGAAATGAGTGAGGGACAAAAGGTTGTAAACAGCAACACTTGACTACAAAAGTTCAGGGGTAGGTGGCAGGCTATACATTTACAGCAAGAACCTCCAACAAGCACATGTGGCCATAACAATTATTAACCCCCCCTGGCGGTAATCCAGAGTGTGGCTCGGGGTTAATTTTCAGTACCAAAAGTGGAAACCCCGGCCACATTCGGGTTTTTACACTGTAGTGTAACTTACCTTGTCCCCGAGATCCCCCGATGTCCTCCTGCTGTGTTCTCCGGCCAATGTCGGAATCAGTCTTCCGGGTTCCCTTCCCTGCGAGCGCTGCGACGCGGGGGGGGGGGCGGAACCGGCGGGAGATTCAAAAAAAGTAAACAAAAAACATGACACACACAATACATTGTAATATGTGAGGATTCCATTCCTGTATCAAACCTTTTCACCTCTGTTTTGTCCCGAGTGCTTTGTCCGGCGCCCTGCCTGCACTTTTACCGTTCTCTCTACCTGGAAACGTGAGAAACGTCCGTGGCGTCCAAAAAGCGTCCCTTTAGGTCAAAATCGGTTGTAGACCGGCTAGAGAACAGCGATAGTAAATCAGAACCACTTGCAGAATTGAGTGATAATGATTCGTGGGGGAAATTCATCATCAGACACAAAGTGATGAAAGCGACGATTCTGCGCCTGAGCTCAGCGATGTGCGAACTTGGTGCGATATATTTCAAATTTCAGTGTTTTTGGTTTGATTAGATTACTGAATTAAAGTTATTTTTTTTTTTATATTTATATTATAATTTATGATTTCGGGTTTCAAACGTCATCATACCCGGGAGGTTTTCTAGATTCTTGTTTGGACAGATTTGAGTTACAGGCGTACCTCGGTTTACGAACGCCTCGGTTAATGTAATTTTCGGTTTACGAATAAAATATCCATTGAAAATAATGTCTCGGTTTACGAATTTTGTTCACAATACAAAAACGGATTAATTGGTTTTCAATGCATTTATGAATTGTTTTTTAATCATGTCCCTGTACAGTATTTATGCCTTTAAAAAGAGTTTTGAACAGATAAGACACTTTTTCTGACCTCCGGAACGGATTAATTGGTTTTCAATGCATTTACAAAAATTTTTTTTTTTTTTTTTTTTTATCATGTCCCTGTACAGTTCTATGCCTTTAAAGTGCACTATATAAAGAGTTTTGAACAGACAATCCGTTCCAGAGGTCAGAAAATAAAAGTACAAAAAAAAAAAAAAAAAAGCGCCTGTTCAAAACTATTTATAAAGTGCACTTTAAAGGCATAGAACTGTACAGGGACATGATAAAAAAAAAAAAACAAAAAAATTGTAAATGCATTGAAAACCAATTAATCTGTTCCAGAGGTCAGAAAAAAGTAAAAAAAAAAAAATTGAATTGGTTTTCAATGCATTTACAGATTTTTTTATCATGTCCCTGTACAGTATTTATGCCTTTAAAGTGCACTTTATAAAGAGTTTGGAACAGATACATTTTTTTTTTCTGACCTCCGCGGAATGGATTAATTGGTTTTCAATGCATTTATGAATTCATTTTTAATCATGTCCCTGTACAGTATTTATACCTTTATAAAAGAGTTTTGAACACTTTTTTTTTACTTTTTTTCTGACCTCCGGAACGGATTAATTGGTTTTCAATGCATTTACGAATTCATTTTTAATCATGTCCCTGTACAGTTTTTATGCCTTTAAAGTGCACATTATAAAGTTTTGAACAGATAAAAGACTTTTTTCTGACCTCTGGAATGGATGAATTGGTTTTCAATGCATTCCTAGGGGAAACCGCATTTCGGTTTACGAATGTTTTGCAATACGAAAAAGTCCCGCAGAACGAATTAAATTCGTAAACCGAGGTATGCCTGTATTCCTAAGAATTACAGGCCTACAATATAAAACAACAAATTTCCATGCAAAACAATGTACCGCTTTGACATTCAAAAATATCGACATAATCAGACCGTCAGGGAGGTTAAAGCCCAACTCCGACTAAAAGCTATTTTTTGGGGGGTTTTTTAAGATTCTGCTGTGCTGGAAGGTTTGGAGTGTGCCTCCACCGGGGAGATCGCCCTTATTTCCAGTCAGGACAGGAAATGATGGAAGACTCGAAAGGAACAGAAGCAAATCCGAAGTAGAGCGAGGGGGGAGGGGTTAAGAAACTAATTGTTTTTATTTCCCTCAGCCATTTCCTTTCCTAGTGACACCCGCTGACCCAAAGATGTTCACAGGGCTTCAGCTTGTATAAAAGAAGTATGTGTGTACAGAGAGTGTAATGTACCACCTGGCGGTACCTCTAGCAACCCACGGGATAGGATTCCCCAGAGTAAGTCCCAGTCTGCTTGGTCACCAGGGCCCCTGATGGTGGGGATGGACTTGGAGACCAGGTCGCAGCCCCTGAGTACACCCACCCGTGGTAGAGGGATGCGCCAGAGGTATCTGCTGGATAAGAGCCTGATGTGAAGAGGCGGATGGGTCCGTGCAGGACGGATGGATGACTGGCTGAGCAGAAGCGTGGTCACACAGGCCGGGTCGGTAACCGTGGGGACAGCGCAGTACAAGGCAGCAGGCAAAGAATAGTTGGGTCACTCGCCAGGTCAGTAACGGGAGGTCAGATCCAATGGGGGGCATCCAAAGAGAGGTCAGGCAAGTCAGGGGTCAGGGCAGGAGAAGACAGCACGGTCAGGATCAATCAGGGTCGGCAACAATCAATCAACAGGTAACAGGAGCAGGAACAAGCAGATGAGACCATACGGCAACCAGTGTCAGCGCAGAGCGGATTTAAATACCGCGCCCTGCACGGTCATTGGTGCCAGGCGCACTCCCGCGGTCCCGAGTGCGCATGCGCGCGAGTTCCGCCGTCGTCGCGGCCGCCCAAGACCTAGTGCCCGCAGGCCAGTGCGAATCGGCACACTGCGACTGCGCCGAGCCACACGCCGCAGCGGCTCCTGACAGCGAGCTTTGGCACAGAATTTGTAAAGCTTTCAGCAATCTTCAAGCAGCTCTGTGGAATCCTTAAACATCCGTTTTATTGTGGGAATGATTCAAATTGTTATTAAAGCCGGGTTTTTGTTTTTTTTTTTTTTTTTGTTTGGTTCCTGCCAGGCCCTCATTGTACAATAAGCCGGGCAGGACTTCTCTCGTAGTGGGCAGACATCCTACCATCCTTGCTGAGCATGCGCGCGCTCTCTCCCGGACATGCGCATCAGTGGTCAGGGTAAAGAGCCAATGATGTTTACCGTGTAATCTGCTGTGTCCAATCACAGGGAAATTTACACGGATAATGAAGGCACTGATTATCAGTGCAGAACTAAAATTACTTATTTGCAAAAGGTGACAAAAAAGGAAAAGTTTTTTTTTTTTTTTTAAATTTCTGAAAAATGATAAAAGTTTAGCTTGAATGACAACTGCACGGTCCTGGAACTCTGTACCCAAAGTGCAACAGCGACGAAAGCGGAAAATTGGCCTGTGTAGGAAGAGATCACCGCCAGATCCATACCAGCGTCCTGATCACCGCCAGATCCCATACCAGCGTCCTGATCACCGCCAGATCCCATACCAGCGTCCTGATCACCGCCAGATCCCATACCAGCGTCCTGATCACCGCCAGATCCCATACCAGCGTCCTGATCACCGCCAGATCCCATACCAGCGTCCTGATCACCGCCAGATCCCATACCAGCGTCCTGATCACCACCATACCCCATACCAGTGTCCTGATCACCGCCATACCCCATACCAACATCCTGATCACCGCCATATCCCATACCAGTGTCCTGATCACCACCATACTACATACCAGCGTCCTGATCACCACCATATCCCATACCAGCATCCTGATCACCGCCAGATCCCATACCAGCGTCCTGATCACCACCATACTCCATACCAACGTCCTGATCACCGCCATACCCCATACCAGCGTCCTGATCACTGCCATACCCCATACCAGCGTCCTGATCACCACCATACCCCATACCAGTGTCCTGATCACCACCATACTCTATACCAGCATCCTGATCACCACCATACCCCATACCAGCATCCTGATCACCACCATACCCCATACCAGCGTCCTGATCACCGCCATACCCCATACCAGCGTCCTGATCACCGCCATACCCCATACCAGCGTCCTGATCACCACCATACCCCATACCAGCGTCATGATCACCACCATACTCTATACCAGCATCCTGATCACCACCATACCCCATACCAGCGTCCTGATCACCACCATACCCCATACCAGCGTCCTGATCACCGCCATATCCCATACCAAAATCCTCATCTCCTCCATATCCCATACCACAGTACAGAACACAGCTGTATCCTGGGACAACATTTTTAGATGCCTCTAAACACACCAAAACTATCCACCCTTGGCCTCCCATGCATCCATGATTACTTGCATCTTGGTGTGTTATATGTATTTCTTTCAGATCTGTGCAGCAATCTAGTGTGAAACTTTTCCTTCCTGTAATAAAGACCACTCACTGCTGCACTCCCCCTCCTTGTGCAGAGGGACTGGTCTTGTCTACACCCCCTCCCTCCTGTTCCCTATAGGAAACCTGTAGCGGGTGGGTCCACAGGCTATGTGCAGAACAGCGAGGATGGCACTGCAGGAAAAGATTGGGTTTGCATATGCATTTTGTGTACAAAATGTATTTATATACTCTTGAGGGGGGGGGGGGGGGGGGGGGGATTTACTAAAATTGGAGTGCAAAATCTAGAGCAGCTCTGCAAAGAAACCAATGAGATTCCAGGTTTTATTATCAAAGCTTAAAAAGTGTTACTAAACCCCGGCCCCCGCATTCCCGACACCCGGCCTCCCCGGACCCCGTGCATTCCCTACACCCGGCCTCCCACATTACACAGAACATGAAAATGCAATTATTTTAGTAAATATAAACTGCTAAATACCTTTTCTCATCAGCAGTTAGAGCAGTCTTGTGACTTCAGCAGAACACTGGTTAAAGCTTGTAGGAGGAGTTTTCTTTCTGCTCTAGGAGGATGCAGAACCCCTGACCTCTGTCTGGACATTGCCAATTGGCCCTGTGCTGATCACATGTACTCCCCAAAGAAAAAAACCTCTAGCAATACACACTAAACAGAGCATGTGGCTACAGGTTAAGTCAGGTGACATCTGAACAAGAGGAGGAGCAGAGAAGACAGGATCAAACTCCCTTTTTACACAATGCTGAGGATTAACCCCTTCCAAGGTGAGTATAACAAGCGTGCTTTACTGCATACACAGACTGATTGTACGGTTGTGGGTTTAGTTACACTTTAATTGAACAAGCTGAAGCTAGAAGCTGATTGGCTCCCATGCACATCTGCACCAGATTGTGAGTGCTCCAGTTTTTGTAACTCTCCCCCTGTATCTATTGTGAAATGTGATGTTTTTGTGCCCAGAATTCTGTTTCAACTCTTCGCAAAACCAAAAGAAAAAAAAAAAAAAAAAAAAAAAAACCACACAGCCTGGAGTTAGGTGTTCGGTCAATGAAAATCTTCGATACTTTTCTTACCTGCAGCTTAATTTGAACTGTTTTATAATGTTGCTAATCTTCTCAAACCTATGGATGTCCCTCTGTTCCCTGCACTGGTAGTGGGATATTACCTGAGAGAAAAATAAATAAATAAAAAAACGGAAATGTCAGTTACCAAGCATTCGGTATAAAAGTATTACTAGAACAATGGCAGGCAGAAGTCGCAGGGATCTCTCACCAGAAAAGTCGCTCTCTCGAATAGCAGCACTTCATCAGCCTCGATGATCTGAGCAAAGTTACGCAGGTTGGATTCCAGCTGCTGCACGTTGGGAATGAGCTGATAGACGATGCTGGACCAGGCCTGAGCACAGAGAGCAGAGCGGCAATCATTCACACGGCGGTCACTCCACTAACCTATGCATGTGACACGGCAATGGCGGGATTAGGTACCTTGTATAGCGTTTCATCCCAAATGGAGGTCCTGAAGCACGCACAATCCAAAGGTCTGGAGAGACGCCTCAAATCCTCCTCTCGCTCCTTAAATATCTAGAAAAAGAAAAAAAAAATTATAAATCAGAAGGAAGATAGATATTGCAGGAGCTGTAAGCAAATAAATCTCAACACGCTTTTCCTTGTCTTGTAAAAAAATGGTGAAAAAAACAAAAAAAAAAAAACCTGAAAATTGTACTTTGCGTCACAGCAGCATACTAACAAACGCACGCCGACATGTGGGTACCAGGAAAATATTAAAATGTATGTTTAATCTTCTACGTAGTCTTTCCTAGTTTCTCCTTCCCCTCTCAAACATGCAAATGAAATGGTGTAAATAAAAAAAACATGCTAATGAAACTTTTCATTACATATAATTTAGGCCCTGTGACATCACCAGGTCCCTGCGCTTCTCAATGCAATGCGGGCAGACAACAGCTAGGGAGGAATCGGCAAGGTGCTGTACATAGCTTCCTGAAAACACACTGCAAAGACATGCTGGGAGGTTCATTGGCTCCTGTCTAAATTGTCCCTAGTATGTGTATGTATGAATGTGAGGTAGGGATCTTAGATTGTACGCCCCTTGAGGGTTAGGGACCTTAGATTGTATGCTCCTTGAGGGTTAGGGACCTTAGATTGTACGCCCCTTGAGGGTTAGGGACCTTAGATTGTACGCCCCTTGAGGGTTAGGGACCTTAGATTGTACGCCCCTTGAGGGTTAGGGACCTTAGATTGTACCCCCCTTGAGGGTTAGGGACCTTAGATTGTTGCCCCTTGAGGGTTAGGGACCTTAGATTGTACGCCCCTTGAGGGTTAGGGACCTTAGATTGTACCCCCCTTGAGGGTTAGGGACCTTAGATTGTACCCCCCTTGAGGGTTAGGGACCTTAGATTGTACGCCCCTTGAGGGTTAGGGACTGATGTGACTGTACAATATATACAGTTGTGTTCAAAATAATAGCAGTGTGTTGAAAAAAGTGAATAAAGCTGAAAATCCTTCTAATACTTTTATTTCCATCCACACAAATGCATTGGGAACACGACACATTCTATTCCAAATCAAAACATGAAGAAAAATACATCAAAATTTGTGTTGTTCCTCTAAAAACATTGAAAAGTGAATATTAGACGGTTCAAAAAAATCTCGCAGTGTTTGTATTCTTCTTTACAAACTCAAACATTCACTATATAAACTGAGAAATGTTTGAAGATTTTGCTTTCCTTTGAATGACTTCATGAATATTTGGTTGTAGTCGCACTGTTTCTGAGAACTGCTGTACATCTGTGTTGCATGGAGTCCCCCAACTTCTGGCCCCTGTGATCAGGTATTCCAGCCCAGGATGATTGGACCACATTCCACAGTTCTTCTCTATTTCTTGGTTTTGCCTCAGAAACGGCATTTTTGATGTCACCCCACAAGTTTTCTATTGGATGAAGATCCGGGGATTGGGCTGGCCACTCCATAACGTCCATCTTGATGGTCTGGAACCAAGATGTTGCACGTTTACTGGTGTGTTTGGGGTCGTTGTCTTGTTGGAACACCCATTTCAAGGGCATTTCCTCTTCAGCATAAGGCAGCATGACCTCTTCAAGTATTCTGATGGATTCAAACTGATCCATGATCCCTGGTATGCGATAAATAGGCCCAACACCGTAGTATGAGAAACATCCCCATATCATGATGCTTGCACCACCATGCTTCACGGTCTTCACAGTGTACTGTGGCTTGAATTCAGTGTTTGGGGGTCGTCTGACAAACTGTCTCCGCCCACTAGACCCAAAAAGAACAATCTTACTTTCATCAGTCCACAAAATGTTGCGCCATTTCTCTTTAGACCAGTCAATGTGCTCTTTGGCAGATTGTAACCTCTTCAGCACACGTCTTTTTCCCAACAGTGGGACTTTGCGGGGACTTCTTGCAGATAGCTTGGCTTCACATAGGCGTCTTCTAATTGTAACAGTCCTCACAGGGAACGTCACACCTTCTTTCATCTTCCTGGAGCTGATTGTTGGCTGAGTCCGCGCCATTTTGACTATTCTTCTATCCATTCCAATGGTAGTTTTTCGCTTTCTTCCTCATCTTTCAGGTTTTGGTTGCCATTTTAAAGCATTTGCCATCATTTTAGCTGAGCAGCCGATCATTTTCTGCACTTCTTTATATGTTTTCCCTCTCCAATCAACTTTTTAGTCAAGGTACGCTGTTCTTCTGAACAATGTCTGGAACGACCCATTTTCCTCAGAATTTCAGAGAGAAATGCACTGTAACCAGCATGTCCAACATTTGCTGCCTTCCTTCCTTAAATAAGGGCAATAATTGCCACCTGTTTTTTTTCAAAGAATGAATGACCTCACTAATAGAACTCCACACTGCTATTATTTTGAACACGCCCTTTCAATGAGTGATTCAATGACACAGAATCAGCAGCATGCATGTCATGACTGTGGGGTCTGTTGGATTTCTATGACTCTACTACACCTGCTAGGAAATTATTTTAGCCATGTAGAAATATCATTTCCACCAAAAACAGTGATTGATCCGGTTAGTGATGTCTGACTGCTATTATTTTGAACACAACTGTAAGTAAAGCGCTGCGCAAATTGACGGCGCTATACAAGTACTTGAAATAAATAAAAATTCACAGCACCCTGCTCAGTACTCCTTTCAGCCCTGATGGAAGCAGTGAGCAGGCTCTTGGTAGGAGTGTGCGGTGTTCATTCACCTTTTTATTTTTTCTGAAAAGGTAACAAAGCTTGCATTTCAAATAGAAAGTGGTACCGCCACTGAACTCTATCCATTCAAGTAACACAGGCTGCACAGACTGCTTTTCAGAGGGGGCGACAATGATAGCCGCATAAGTGATTGAGCCCTTAGCTTGTCAGTCATGGCTTACAGCGTTACTAAACCCAGGACCCCGGGGGCAATTACTACATCCGCTCTCCTCCGGCCCCGGCATTCACTACATCCACTCTCCCGGACCCCGCATTCACCTATATCCGCTCTCACCCGGACCCTGCATTCACTATATCCGGTCTCCTCGGACCCTGCATTTCACTATATCCGCTCTACCCGGACCCCCGCATTTCACTATATCCGCTCTCCCCGACCCCGGCATTCACTACATTTGGGCCGCTCTCCCCGGACCCCGCATTCACTACATGGGTTTTTGCTCTCCCAAGACAAGGACCCGGCATTCATCTACATCCGCTCTCCCCGGACCCTGCATTCACTATATCCTGCTCTCCCCGGTTCCCGGCATTCACTATATATTTGCTCTCCCCGGACTCACGGGCCCATTTTCACTATATATCCGCTCTCCCCGGACCCGGCATTCACTACATCCGCTCTCACCCGGACCGGCATTCACTACATCGCTCTCCCCGCACCGGCATTCACTACATCCGCTCTCTCCCCGCACCCGGCATTCACTACATCCGCTCTCAGCCCGCACCACCTGCATTCACTACATCCGTCT